TTCTGCGCTTTCTCTTTTCTGTTCCCATCACCTGCACCGATGCTCACTCCCATTCCTGACTCTTTCTCTGCCCCAGCTATCCCAACAGCAATCAGGGTCCCTTCCCAGGGCCAACATTGCAAGTTGTGTGTGTGTGTGTGTGTGTGCCATGTATAAAAGCAAGGGCTTCTATAGCAGTGCCACATGCTAAGTATCTCAAGAGTCCTTCTCATTGGCTCATTCACTCAGTTCCCCGAGTGACTCTACAAGGTAGGCACTTTCAGCAGCCCCAGGGAGAAGGCCCCTCCCTGACCCTGAGAGAAACCTGCCCCTTCCCTGGCCCAAAGGAGGGCATATCTCCTGCCCTTCCTAGGTGCAGCTGGAGCCCAGGGTGCTGGCCTGGGGTAGAAAAGAGCAGGGAAGAGGGAAGAGGAGAGGGGCTCCGGATGCCCTCACCATCACCCCAGGGCTGACAGCACCTGACTCCATGGAAAAACTAAGCAATGCCTGACATCAGCCCCTGAATCCAGGGTGCACCTGGGGCAGCATCAGTGAGACTGCGTCTGCCAGGTCACAGGGCACCCCTGTACGCCCTCAGACACGGAGCCTGGACCCAGGACAGAAGCCCCTTCCCTATCAGCTATGGGTGTCCCCCAGCTTCCCTCCGGGCCAGCCCCGAGTGACTGCACCTCTGAGGCCCACCAGGTCCCTCAGGGTTCTCCAGGCAGCAAAAGAGGAGGCAAATGTGATACCCCTGCCCCACCACCACCGTCGTCTGTGACTGAGCAGCTGATGACTCCAGGGTCAGAAATAGCCCCACAGTCAGCTCCCGAATGCCACATTCCCCTCCCGTCCATTCCCAGAGAGTCTGGGCCCTGAGTCACAGGGAAGAGTCCAGAAGTAGACAAGGACCCAGAGGATAGTGGAAAGTACAGGTCCTTGTGCGGAGCTGGGGGTGGTCATTCAGAAATCCCTAACCCTCCTTCTCTCTGGAATGAAGAGAGAAAAATGAGGGAGGAAGAGGGCTGGGCTCCTCTCAGAGGGCTCCTGGCTGGGAACAGAGGCCCAGTATACAACCCAGAAACCAGCCCAGCCTAGAGAAAGGGGATTCAGAGGACTAGGGGCAGGGCCATCCAGGTGTCCAATGCCCCTCCTTATTCATCCCCCCAAAATAACCTGGTCACCCCCACCCCAGGCCACGGCTGAGTCATTGACCCCACTCCTCAGAGCATGAATGAATCTCTGCTCCCGCTGCCAGCCCCTCCCATGCTCAGAGGACACGACTGACTCCTCAGGATGGAAGAGAGACTTCCACAAGCTCTAAAAATAACAGAACCACTTAATACTCTGCACATAGCCACCCTACCCGCCCCCGCGCTGGCCCACCCCAACCAGCAAGATAAAGGCAGCTGCCGGGCCGGCAGAGCACAGACCCAGAGCCAGGGCAGTGAGAAGGCACCTAACCAACCCCGAACGAGAAAGTCCAGTGGGACAACTGACTCCTGACTGCACCTGCTTCAGACCCAAGCACCCCAGCCAGCCAGCGAGACCCTCGGTGAGTAACCTGCCTGACCTCCCATGGCATGGCAGCTCTCAAGTGGGGGGCCCTCGGCACCCTCTGGAATGGGTGTATCTGGGTGACATGGAGGGAGAAGGCTGAGGGGAACATGGGCAAGGGGGAGAGCTGGAGTCCATGAGGAAGGTTCAAGAATTTGTGTTACTCAATGAGCACTTCTGGAGAAGCTGCCACAGGCCGAGGCCAGCCAAAGGGATGGGATTTTTCCAGTCAGGATAATCCAGAAGGTTTCCAGGTGGTGCCTGGGGATCTGATTTTTAAAATCTAGGTGTGAAGCGCCTCAGGCTTCAAGGCGTCCTCCTGGGAAAGCTTCACAGGCCCAGGGACTGGAGGAAGTGGGGGGTGCAGACAGTCAGTGGACCGAGACACACCCCAGGACAGGCCCCTCGCCCTGCTGTTGTGGGTAAAAAGTCTTGGCATGTCCTGTCCAGGGATAGCTCCCCAGTGCTGACCTGAGCCCAGCTCCCCACTTATGGCGGCCTAGAGCCTGGGGGTGACTCTGTCCAGCCACCTCTTACCCTGCGGGGAAGCCCTCAGGCCATATCTGAGCACCCAGGAATGAAAACAGGAGAGGAGGCCAAGCTAAGGAGGAGCCCTGGATGAAGGGGAGCATCCCAAGAGGCCAAGCTCTGGGACAGTGTGGTTCCAGTTCTGAATTCTGCCCTCACCCCCACTCTGCCCCAGATCTCAGGCCGGGCAAGGGTGGAGGAGGGAGGGCCAGGAGTTAGGAAACACACTGCCAGCTTTGCCCTTTCTAGCTGGGCCTCCCTGAGCAGCTCTTCGGTTTTCCCCTCTGAACGAGAAGCGGGTGGGGTTCTTTGACCGCCAAAGGTCCAAAGGTCCTTGGTATGGTGTCTCTGGACTCTGATTCTAACCGCCTATGACCCTGGCAGGGTTTCTGGAGCTTCCTGGGAACAGGCGTGGGTGGAGCTGGTGTCCTGAACGTGATATCTGCTTGGGTTACCACCAGGGCTCAGGCATTAAGGGAAACCTCCCAGAGAGTCCAGGAGACTCCAGCCGCAGCCTTCCGTACTCACACTGCTCAGGGCTCTGAGGTCCACAGTACACACGCCAGACACTCCCAGGTCAGTTTCCTCTCTCCTCCTTCTGAGAAGGAATCCTGTCCCCCACCTGCTGCCAGTATCCCTGCACCTACCCACAACCACTAACCCCTTTGACCAGGGGAGGGCTCCAGGCTCCAGTGCCCAAGTGGCCTGCAGATCATGGGTCTGGGGCCACACAGGAAGTGGGAGACCAGGTCCTCTGGGAGCCCCAGGTAAAAAAGGAGATGGCATGGGACACAGCCACCAGGATCTCCACTGGCCGAGCCTGAACCTCCCTCTGAGTGTTGGGCTGCTATTCTGAGGCCAGGATCTCAGCTATATTTAGCCCCAAGAGTGGTGAGGAGCTGTGGGTCAGGGGTGGCAGGAGGAGTGCGTGCTTTTGATTCTTTCCCTGCTGGGCTCTGCGGACTGTCGCAACACCTGTCACAAGACAGATAAGACATGGATGAGACAGAAGCCAGAGAAGAGATTGAGACACAGGAGGCCACTGAGGGCAGAGCTGAGGACAGGCCTGCCTCACGGAAGCTGATGGACATAAAGAGGGGGGGCACAGGAGCCTGGAGCCAGCTTGGGGCTGCAGGGGCAGGTCTCAGCCTGAGGTCCTATGCCCAGAACACCCAAAGCTGTGCTTGCCCTCATGCTGGTGAGGTGGATTCCCTACAGGCAAGGGGCAGGGCTGTCTGTGCAGAGAGGACCCTGGTGCCCCAGTCTGCCCCTGGAGTTCTCACCTTCATATTCTCCCAGGCATGCCTTCTACAGAAACAGGGTACCATGGCCAACACAAAAGCTTCACCTCCCCTGTCCCTTAAGGCCAGGGACCTTAAAACAGGGTCTAGAGACCCCAAGACAGCAGTACCTGCCACTCATTCACCAACATCTGATTCTGAATCTCAGTGTCCTTGTATTTAATCATAAAAGTTTGGGCCAAAAGACTTTTAAGAGCCACCTGCTCAGGCCAGGGATTTGGCTCAGTGGTTTTGCTGCCTGCCTTGCAAGTGCAAGGGCCCGAGTTCAATCCCTGGTACCATTAAAAAAAAAAAAAAAAAATCTAAAAAAAAAAAAAAAAAAAAAA